CAGAAATAACCTGTATGAGGTGGATTGGAGTTGTGAACATATTACATTATTATATTATTATATTATGTTATATGTGAACATACAACATTCGGCCTGCAAGAGCCAAAGCAGTGGAAGCAGCAGAAGCAACCCAAAGGCTGGGACAGAAACGGCTGGTTAAGGCCCCTGCTCACAGACATTGCAGGGCCAACTTCTGGCAAGAAGGAAGACGGACTGATCTTCCTGCTCCTACTGGGTTTTAATAAATACCTCCGTAAACTGGAGGATAAGCCCTGGTTTAGGTCTTTCCCTGCCTTTTTATCTTTCCGGACTCATTTCCAGCAGTAGTGGATTTACTGTCTTTGCTTTAAGTACTTTCACAGGGAAATAAGAATTCATAATCTACAGAGATAATATATACTAGAATGAAACTGTTCCAATACTGTGCCTGCCAGAGGCCAGACTGAAAGATAAAGAGATATAAAGCTTGCAGTAGTCATTCGTTACTCCTTTGCATTTGGCTGCAAAGGAGTAACGACGCCTGCTCGGTGGACCATGTAGGTATTACAAATCTTTGATCTTTCTGAACCTGCACTGATTTACTAGAGAAACATTTCATTATTCTTTTTGTGCTAGTAAGAGAGAGATGGGGGTACTTCTATTAAAGTATAGTTTTAGCTGTAGATTTTCTTTAAATTTTGTGTTGAATTCCTAATTAACACACAGTTAAACTGCGTTGTGATTTGTTTAAGCTTGCTGTCAGTTTTGTAAAGCCTCCCGATGAAATCTTGCCTCTTGCGAAGTGTAGTAAAATTCCACTTTAACTTGCAGTCAAGCCAGACTTATGTCCATTTAACTTGTATTTCAGCCATGCTGTCATTTTTATGGCAGCTTGAGTAGAGACCAGGGAGAAACATAGAAGAAATTGTCTCCTTCCTCCCCATTAGTTAGTTACTTGACATCTGGCTCAAATGTGTGTTGCAGGCCCCTCTTCAGCCCTTCTTTCTCTCCTTCCAATAAAAAAGTCTGCCTTTTTCAATGAGGAAATAAATTTCAAAAAAACTGTCTGTAGAAAATCTCGAGTTATAAACCAACTTTTCCAAAGAAGAGGCATTTTAACATCCACCCCTGACAGCTTCCATGCACAGCATACTTCTTGATTTCGTAACAGGGGGAGATTAATGCTGCCCTTCTTTTATATGCTTTGGGATCTGCATGTACTCCGCTGTAGTCAACCTCCTCGTGAACTGCTGCTTATTAGCAGGGGAGGCACAGACGGCTTTGTGTTTGCGCAGCTCAGCTGAAGGAAGGGGACGATGGCACAGATAGCGATGTAGACGGTTCTGAGCATCTCTTTGTACCGAAGCAAAGCTCCAGCTGATTTTTCTTTTTTTCAGAAACATGTGTAAGTCTACAATAGATACCAGACCCTGTTCCCACTTGCACAGAGCCTAAAGCATTTGTTCCGTGCTGAGGAATTTGGGACTTTTTTGTGGAAGTTTGCATTGCAATGGGTAACTGGCCCTTTCTTGCCACCAGGCTATCTACTGTTAAATACACGACAGTCATAGTAAAATAATATTATTATATTTCCAAACAGAGTAGCTAGAGAACCTAGAATTAAAGACCACTGTCTCATTCAAAGTGCTGGATGAATATTGTTCATATAATGTATTGTTATTCAATATGTTGTTTTCCTTCCTTGTTCATGTGAATTCATGCCTTGCTACCGTACCCAACTCAATTCCCGCTCTGAAGTAAGAGTTCTCAATTTCTTTCTGAACTAGCAAAATTTTATCACTGCGCTATCTCACAGTTTCAAAGAACTATGTAGCTTCCATGCAGTACTGTATTCAACTCTGTTCTGTACGTAAGGGGGGAGTGTTAAATCACAAGTAACCCCACTGGATTTTGGATTTGGATCTGTCTGAGGTGACTTAAACTTGCAATGGTTTTGGTTTTTTTTTATTCAGGGAACTTAAGGTATGAAATGCCACTATAAATTGGAATCACAGCTTGCCTCAAATAGTAACCACAGCTGGGAATCCTGCAGATCAGACCCTTGGATCCCAAATTGGGCAATCAATTAGGGTTGCATCCAGGTGGCTGTGTCAGTAGTTGAAGAGGACAGCAATGCTCCCTGAGGAGCAATTCAGAAGTAAGCAGGAGAGAGCAACAGCCTCAGGTCAGCCCATGGAGAATGAACACTGTGTGATGACTTCTGTAAAATTTAAGAACATCTTGCCCTTAGTGACTCCCTGTGAAATATGGTCATTGGCTCTGTGCTCTCGAGTAGTAGTTTTTCTGTGCTATCAGGTGCTCCCCAGTGCAACTCAGTCCCTGCTGCTGCGTGATGTTCTAGCACGTCCTGACTCCACGTAGGCGGAGGTCTGACTTCACTCCGTTCCCCCGCACACCTGAATTTCCTTTGCAGGAGAGAGGGATGCCTGCAGGGGGGAAGGAACTGTGGAGCTGGGGAACACATCTTCCTCTTGGTTACGATGTGGCTGACGGGGAAATCCTGAAACCAGGACTTAAATGATCTATATGGCAGACTGGGGATTAAAAAGCACAGTTCTCCTCTCTTCATCTCTCCCTGTCTGCACCTCGGGCTTCAGTCACAACACGCTTTCCAGCTTCGGCTAACTGAACACCTCCCTGCTTACTGTCCGGATTCCCTGAGCCCAGAGGTGCCGGCTGCCTGGCCCCTCTATTGCTTTGCACTGAAAGGGGCTCGGAGCAGACATGTTGAGGAATTCAGCTTCAGGGCACTGGCACATTTCTACTGAGTGCGTGAAGTGTTTTTTCCAACTGCTTGTCCACTGTCAGGTTTCCTATGGCTACCCATAGTGTCTGCCAGATGTAGCTTTGGCACTCCTAAAATTTCTACTTTTAATTCTGGAGCCTGCGTAGAGCCTGTGGAAGAAGAGGTTGCTGGAATTTTTCAAGATAGAGGGTATGTCCACAATGAAGGTTTTAGATACCTTCAGTAAGCAATTAAACAAATTTACAGGGAAGAAAACCTCTGGAGCTACTAAGCCAAAAGATACTCCTTCCCTGCTCTGGGCATCCTTGAGCCATGAGTTCCTCCTAGAGGTGTGGAGGAGACTCTGAGGAGTATTGCTAATTGTGCTTCAAGTCCTTCTTACACAGCTGTCGTTGACTTCTAAGGCAGAATCCTGCTCGAGGCAGACTTTTGGTCTGACCTGGCGAAGCCATTCCTGTTGTCAGCTACATTGCTGTAATATACTGCAGGAATGGCTTCGCCAGGTCAGACCAAAGGGCCTGCTGCTTCTACCCCAGTGTTGGTCTTTGAAGCACTTGAATTGTCTTGGCTGAACTTCAAATAATAATGTGTCCTAAAGCAGACACAGAGTTAGGAAAACTCCAAGGCAACTGATATTTGAAGTGCGGTAAAGTTTATTAAACAGTTGCAAAATACAGTCTGGTGGTGGGAAGTACCAGCATCTTTAGTTACCTTGCTGTGGTCACTATAGAAAGACAAAACATATGAAAGGCAATAAAAGGAAATCTTCTGTCTTGTAAGTTGACATTTAGGCTTACAACCACAGTACTCGAGCATACTGATTAAAAGAGTGTGCCTCTGTCAGTGGGGTGCTGGGGTTGGATGGAGGAGCTGAGCCTCTCGGTCTCACACCTCTCTTGGTGTCCGTGTGTCTGTACATGTGCGTGCACACACCTGGCAGGGTGGTGGGATGGGTCTTTCTCACGGGGCGTCAGGATTTGCTGAGCTTCCGTTCGTTCCCTCCTCTGCTGCTAGGTGGCCTGAAATAGTTTAGTGTGGGTGAATTCTCCGAACATGTCACAAAAGTCTCAAGCCTGATGGGATGTATAGGGGAGGCAGGGTGTTGCACACAAAAATGCTGAAGGAGTGAGAAAATATTTCTGTAGGTGGCTGACATTCCGATGTATTGGATTTTAATGAAGTTGAGCACTGTTTGGGAACAATAATCCAGTGCATTGCTAATTTTAAAATATGATTTACAGGAGATGCACTAACCATTGATTTTACTCAGCCTTTTATTCATTTTCTTGGGTTGTTCCTTACATCGAGTCTTGCTGTGCTGTTCTCTTGCTGAGATCAGCCTTTAACTTCGTAGTAGTTAATATTTCTAAATTTGGGAAGATCTCTCCACTGATTTTAAGTCATACAAGCAGCACGTGTGTCCATCTAAGCTTTCATTATTGCTGTATTTATAAAATAAAACTTTTAAACTTAGTGTTCATAGTTCACATAGGTGATTGATGTGCCTGGCTGTCCCTGGCAGGTCTGCCCGGGGCGGCTGCCTCTGTGTTAGTTCTTGCCTTTCACAGGACTTAGAAAATAGCCAAGGTTTTCATGCTGGGGGGAGGTAAAGTCAGCAAGAAACACTTCTTTCTAATGCTCTTCTGAAGGCGACCACCTTCAAAAGGGTTTTAAATGCGTATGGTTTAGTTTCTTATGTTAGCTAAAGTTCTCAAAGGGCTTCGTTTATGATTAAGGAAAGTTAGGTGCTATTCCACTCTTAGGGACGCCTAGGGGGGAAAGGGTTTTAGCCTAGCATTTTTTAATAGCTGTTTGATGATACTAAAACCAAAACCAAAACCCCTGTGTTTATTGTTTCGGGGTTTTATAGTAATGGGTGTGTTTTCTTTCTGTAAAGCTTTTAATATTAAGAGCCAAAAAATGCTATCTCTACAGATACTGTTACACCAAATTAAGTACACAAACACAAATGCCTCCATAGTTATTTACTATTTCTAGAGAGCACGTGATAAAAGGATCTTTTTTAATTTAACTTTGGCTCCCACACGTTCTTTTCATTCCGACCTGGTGAAACTGGGTGTCTTTCACAGCAGGTTCAGGAGACTCTCTGCAACCTCTCGTCTTCTTGTTTGGCTGCTAATAACCGGAAAAGTTGACCGAGCAAAATGGTGAAGAAGTTGAGCCAGCAGTTGCCACAGTGACAGTTGTCCAATATAAATATCTTACAACTCTTCTGTTTATCATCTGTTTTCAGGGCAGTTTAAGCTGCTGGAACAAGACCGAGATATTAAGGAGCCAGTGCAGTATTTTAACAGTGTGGAGGAGGTGGCTAAAGCATTTCCTGAACGAGTTTACGTCATGGAGGAAATAACATTCAACGTTAAGGTAGTCCCTGAATAAATATTTATCCCTGTTTAAATGATTAACTGTTACAACCTTTATATACACGGCAGCGCTGTGTGGGAAGTGTGATTTTTGAGACAAACGAGCCTTTAGTGTTCTGCATTCAGTGATGGTGCTCTTCGGGATCGTTTTTGCAGTCTTAAATCAACATGTCCTCTAACGGCTCTCCTGTCCTATAGCACTTCAGGAAGCAGTCCTGATGATCCCTCCAATAGTTCATCTAATTAGGGTGCTCCTGCCAGATCTTAAACAAATGTTGTTTGTTGCCCCCTTTCCCCTCCCCCTCCAGCAGTCTGAATTTTATTCTCTGCTAAGCAGCAGCTGCTCAAATCCCTGTCCAGAAAGCCTTATTCTCAGAGAGCACGCAGGGTGAAATGATGGGGTTGCTTGTCTCAAAATTACTGTAGCTAAATAGCATTGTGAATAAAACAAAAAGAACAAGAGACACATTTGTTCTGTGTGTGTGTGTGTATGTGTGCGTTTGCATGTGCATGCCTCTTGGGCTCATCAAAGGGTCAGCAATCCCACGAGTGTAAGAGGGCTTCCTATCACCAAACACACTGCAGTGCGGTGGCATGAGACAATGAAGACAGAACTTGTTCCTCCTTGTCCTACCTATACGTGTGACACTACACAAGGTAGGGCAGCTCTGCCAACAGAGCAGAGGGGTCTTTGGGCTCATCTGGTTTGCTTCAGTTGATACACCGCCTAAGACTGGTTGAAGAGCATCCTAGAGCTGCGATGCAGTGATGCATTGTCCACATTACATACTCTACAGGGGGAAGTGGTTGATACTGCTGGTGCAAAACCAGTCTAGTGTTCCCTGGTCCCATGTGTAGCAATGTGGTGTTTTTATAACAATCTCTTAATCGCTTTTTCTCCTTCTCACACTGCTACAGTTGGGAGATACCAGCTAGTCTGCAGTTTTTATAGGTGTGAAACAAGATTGCTGAAGATTGCTGTAAGTGCAAGAGCTCATCACTTAATTAATTTAGCGACACAGACTCATGCCTTTCAAGACAGTAGGTTGTTTTCATTTATGCTCTCCATTAAGCTAAACCCATAAAACAGAGCCTTTCATTAATGAAGGCTACCTGAGAAAGTTGGAACACTTTTGTATGTTTAGGATGTAGTTGGACAAATCAAGGCAACGAGAAAATTTCATTTCTACCCAGGAAAATCAGTCTTACCTTGGGACTGCTAGCCTTATCCAGTGCTGCGCCATTATCTCGCAGTTGATCAAGGACCAAATCAAGGAGTGGCACAGTAAAATGTGCAGCTTTGATTTTATAGGGGAAAAAGTATTCATCTGCAGGCTTGTTTAAATGTAAAATGTTGTGTCTTGAGTTTAATATGAGTGTTCTTAAAACTCTTTGTCATATTTAGCAAACTGAGAAGTAAGCATAGCTTACTGTTAGATATCAAATCCATTTTTAGAAGATACTGTTGTGATACTCCTTAATGTAAATAACAGTAATAATAAACCAGGTTTAACCTAGTTACACAGTTATCTTGGCAGTATTTCTCTTGGCAGTTCTTCCAGTTTCATAGAAGTCTATTCCAAGGTTATAATCTTCCAAAAAATAAATGAACTTAACAGGATTTATTAAAGTGTTTAATAACCCTTTACATGCAAGAGAATTATGTAAGCTAAAATTTTAATATAGGGGAGATCCTGTCAAACTGATTAGAGCAAAGGGAGGAATACGAAGTACGGTTGGTTTCTGTCCAGTGCAGTGTGCCCATTTAAACTCAGAAGAGAGTATCAGAAGGTAGCTAATCCGATATAAAAAGAAAAAAAAAAGCCTAAAATATGTGATGAAGCATTTAAGATGAGGAGGAACTCTGAAGTCTGGGAATTCTTTCTTATGCCAAACACTCAAGTCTTTCATAGATAATTTTTGAAGAAAGAGCCTGTAGAGTACACCGGACAGTCACTGCATGGTTATGTCTGTGCTTGTTGATGTCTGCCTTCATGTGCCAATATGCCACAGTTACGGTTCAACTTGGTGCAAACCTTGCTCCTCCGTGTAAATCCTTCGCTGCTCCGGCAGGATTTTGCACTGCCATTCAGAGAACTGCTTTCTGGCTGTGACGGGCCATGGGATCTTCTCCAACGGGGGATTCCTTTATTTTTACTTCGTGTACTAGTTGTTAAAGGGAAAAATGAGCCACCTTACCCTGGGGGAGGCGGGGGAGATGGGTCTCCCTTCCTTCCTTCCCCAGGGTTTTGCAGCTAGGCAGGCTTTCTGGGGAGTGTGCAGAGGCAGGGGCTTTGGGACCTGCTGGATGTTTGAAGGAGGGCTGTAACACATGCCATCAAGCAGAGCTGGGAGTGGAAGGTGAAGTCACTTTTCACAGAAGAGCAACCAAAAATTTTAGATTAAACCAAATGTTTTTAATGGCTAAAACTACTTCTGGTAACTTCTTCGGACATACATATGTATCAGAAGTGTGCTTGGATACCCAGTTGGTTGCCTCAGGTACCCAGTGGCCAGCAGCATCTACAGGCACAGCAATTTAGAGTGTTCTGGGGATAAACTAATTTCACTCAGTCAGTAGGTATTTAATCTGTTCCTAATTGAAAGTCAGAGGTGTTCTGTCTTTTCTTCACTGACTAGAGAGGTGATAACCTTTTTTGTATTAATCAGTGCATAATTGCAGAGAATTTTGTTTATGTAACAGCATTACACTCCAAAGATGAGGATTTTTTGATTCTCTATGCTAGGAAGAAAAATATTAAGAAAGATGAGCTACCTCAGGGCCCTAGCTGTTGCTTCAGCAGCAGCAATAGATTCTGCAGTTGACTGCTCTGGTCCCATACAGACGGCAGTCTGTACAAATACCCAGGAAGCTATTTGCATTAAGACTTAAAACCAAAACCAGGAACAAAAACCCCACATCATACCAAGGGCAGTTCACAAAAAGCTCTCTTAAAAAGCAACAATATTATCTGAGAGATTGAACATTGGACAAGCCATGAATTCCTGCACTCTAAAAACCAGCCCACTTAGTGTTGCAGGACCCTTCAAATCTTCCGGGATATCATTTTTGTCCTGAAGATATCACTCTGTCTCCCTGGAGAGGCTGTGAAGCTGTTTGCAGAGCCTTTAAAGGACGGAGAGGTGGGTTAGTTGATTAGCCCTGTAATGATTCTTTTCTTTCCTATCAAAGATGTTGTTTGGCTGGTGAGAACATTTGATACCCGATTTGTTTATTTTTCTTAATGTAATCCTCTTTTCACGGTGGTTTAACTGTGTTGGCCCATACAGTGTGCGTTTTGACAGAAATAAATCTATAGTGAAAACATTGCTTTTTTTTTTTTTTGACAAATGTTAATGCAGTATAGTGAAGCAATGATTTGATTGCAATTCTATTGGCTCTGATAAACTTGACCTGAGTTTCCAAAAAGCACATATATAGAAGGTTGTAACCTACAGTGGCATTTTTAAAAGCTGCAATAGTGAGTTTCTTGAAATCAGTTTGTGTGTAGGTTTTAGCTCCAAACTTGCAGGCAATTCATAGTACTTCACCTTGAGAATTAGTGCTTTAGTCCCCTCATTGCCTTGTGGCTTGATGCCAGCTTTATGAGGCTGCAAGCCTTGGCTCCAAGAAGGTTTTTTTTCTCTTCCCTCTCTGTCCCCTGTACACACAGGCTGTGGCACCTCGGGGTCTTGCACTGGCAGTGCACTGCTGTGGCTGCCTCTTTCCTCCAGCGTCTGGTGCATGGCTTGAGCGAGAGAGAAGCAGACCTGCTGCTTCATGCCTACGTTGAGGGACCTGCTGGAGGGTTTCTGCTCTGAAAGGAGCCTGCATAGTGAGCACCATTGCCTTGCAGTGGCCATGAGCTGGCCTTCCTGACATCCCATGTGAAGAGACGCTTCATGTTAGAGCTCTGCGGTATTACCTCTTACGTTTTGGGTCATTTTTGGAACACTTTTGATTTACTTGAGACATCCTTGAACAGCACTGAAGCCAGCTTTTAATGTAGCAATCAGGGCAAAGTCCCTCTCAGCTGAGAGGGAAATGCGCATATGCTAACATGAAGAGTTGTACTTGCTGATTCTCTGTCTTGGGAGACAGACGCTTATAAAAGAAAAATGAGATACTGTCTCACTGAATTTAGCAGACTTCCTTGAAAGTTTGCTTGTTTTTTTCTGCTAATGGCTCTTCTGAAGACACTTTGTTTTATATTTTTAAAATATTTATCCATTTTTTGTGACCTGTAAAAAAATTAATATATAGTGTATATATTATATATTTTATATATATATGTAGCGCTATGATTGGTCCCTTGGCTTTAATAGTAAAAACCGTACGCAGTAACTATAATCAGAGACCTCACAGTTCAAAAGAGCTCTACCAAAAAATAAATCCTATGTATTTTTAAAGTGAATGCAATGCTTGCATTACTCTAATAAAATCTAGCAGGTATAGCAAGCAATATAAAGCCACAAATCTTTTTTATAAGAGTGTGTGTCCAAGTGATTAAAGACTTCTACTTCAAACTATAACAAATTAGAACAATTGGAGTCCAAGACAGGATATTGACTCAGGTGTTATCAAAATCTATTTTTCTTAGTTAACCTTTGCTTAAGCAAAAAAAACAATATACTTGAGCTTTCCCAAAAGAACATGTTTCCTAAGTAATCATTCATCACTTTCCTGATGCCTGTCTTCTGCAGTAGATATAATTGGCTTCTGAAAGTTATGGAATTGTGGGAGTCTTAAAATTTAAGACATTATAGTGACTTAACCCACTGCTGTTCTGCAATGTGTTTGATAAGGTGTCTGTAAGCCAGTAACCTTTCTAGTCAGTGTCCTGGCATCAATAGTGAATGATTAGTATGGATCAACATCTGGCGGTAGGGAGGTGGAGGGCAAGTACAGCATGGAGCAGGTTCTGGTTCTGTGAGTCCTCTGCTTTAGGAGCTGTTCAATTTGAACATCTACTAGTGATTTCTAGATGGCTTTGGAGTAGAGTGTGGCAAGCACCGCCTCTTCCACAGAGCTGGCAGCACTGGTTATTCTCACCTATTACCAGAAAGTGAAAACTGGCTGGGAATGGCAAAAGAGAGGCGAGGGGGAAGTAAAACTGCAGGAGTCATTGTTATAATGCATAAAGCATTGTTGTTCTAACGTGTGAAACAGAGAGAGCAACCATGAAGATAAACGTGTTTGGGGAAGGAGTTATTTCAGGATGCTCCCAAGGCTAGTAGTTTAATAACTGGAGGAGACTTTGTGTTTATCAGGTAATGACAGTAACTGGAGGTACGGTGGTTACTGCTGCAAGTTGCTGCACTGGAATTGTCCAGGGAAGAATTCCTGTTTTAAATAGAAGATGTGAGGAGGGAGTACACACAAAAAAATAAAACGTGAGGGCACAGTCCCACTATGGAGATGTTTAAGGAAAATGTATAATCCTACCTTCCTTCCCCCTATTCCTTCAGCTGGTCTCAGCTTCCTACCAGTTGCAAGGTCTTCACACCTGAAGGTTGAAAAATGAACCTGGCAGAAGTCCTAAAGGAGGCAGGAGCATTGCTCAAATGTGGGCAAAGCAGGAGAGGGGAAGTGAGCTGGAAGTGTGGGACAGAGCGGAGCCACGCCGGGACCCAAGTTGGCCCTCCTGGCTGTGTTACGCAGCTGAATAAAGGCCTCTCAGGTGCCTTCTGTAGCATTACCTGTTTTCCAGAATTATGAGGAGATTCTAATAGTTTGCTACAAGAATATATGGTTATTTCTGCATCAGTCCGTGTTCTGGATGACCTTAACTCTGCCACTCTGAGATAGTGCGCCGCTGTCTTCTCTCTGTCACGCACCAGTGATATGGTGTGTCACGTGCATGGGCCGGGACATGCCACTAGCAGGTCCAAGTGTCCAAAATAGCGTAGGGCTCTGCTACACTCCACCAGTGATTGCGTAGCAGGAGGCAGAGGGTGCATGGGGCATGCTCTCAGCAGGGCGTGGGAGTGCTTGAAGGTGCAGATCCTGCTGGGTCAGTGCTGGAAGCTTAGAGGGTAGAGGGAGCCGAGTCTGGTGTGGTGCTGCCCATTCTGCCTTCTAGGAATAATTTATGATATGCACTTTCTCACAGATCATGTTGTCTTTAAGTGCACTATTTGGCATGAATCAAATCTGTTCTGAGGAGCTGCTATGCTTGTCTGATTCCTGGGCTGATGGGGGCCCTGTGAAGTTCACCAAAGGCAAGTGCAAGGCCCAGCACCTGGAATGCCATAAGCCCTGCAACAGGCTGGCAGGCTAGAAAGTGGCTCTGTGGAAAAAGTCTGAGGGATACCTGGTAGATAGCAGTGGTGGTATGGCAAAGGTGGCCAACAGCATATTGGGCTGTATAAGCAAGAGTGTAGCCAGCAAGTCGAGGGTAGTGATTATTCTCCATCATTCAGCACTTGTGATGCTACAGCTGGAGTATTGCTTCCAGTTCTGGAAACAGCTTTTTTCCAATAACCCACTAATGCAAGGAAGACGTTGACATGGGAGTGAGTCCAATATACCAAGGTGGTCAGGGGGCTGTAGCAAATTACGTATTAGGAGAGGCAGGGAGAACTGGGTTTGTTCAGCCTTGAGAGGGCTGAGGGGAGATCTCTGCTGTTCATACCTACCTAATGGGAGGGTATAAAGAAGACAGACAGACTCATCTGAGGTGCCCAGTGGGAAGACAGAAGACAACAGACACAAGTTGGAACATAGGAATTCTGCTTCAATATAAGAAAAAAATAATTTTTAACATGAGGGTGGTTGAACACAGAGGTTGCCCAGAGAAAATGTGGATTCTCTGTTGTTAGAGAAACTAAAAATTTAACTGGGCATGGCCCTGAGCAGCCTGCCATAACTACACCTGCTTTGAGGAGCCTGTTGGACTAGATGAGTGTGGGGGTCCTGCCTAACCTGGAGGATTCTACAAGTCTCACCTGATGTCCTGTGCTGAAGTCCATGGCCCTTTGTTGATGTTTTTGTAAGTTTTGTGGCCATTGATAAAGGAAATGTTTGAGTGAACAAGAAGGAGCAAGTTTGATTTTCATAAGTCATTGCTACAAATACAAAGTAAAGATCATTTAGCTATGTAATCTGAGAAACAAAGACTTAGAGATACTGTGCATGAGTTTCTATGTGAGTGATTGCTATGTATGGCATGATATATATTGATATTCATATGATATATATAATATGTATGGTATATATTTGTTGCTAATGTCCTGGAACAGATATTTACCTACCATGTATGCTTCATAATGTTAATTAGCATGTGGTAATGAATTAATTAACCCAACACAAGAAGAGAGGAGTTAGCTTTCTTGACTTCCAGAACGTAAATTTTAAAATATACTTAGCCTGCTGAGGTATACCAGCCACTTTAACATCAACATAGTAGGGTTTAGTGAATAGGGATAAAGTTGTGCAGCCTTAGACTTTTCATTTCACTTCTTCAGTTTTTGATTACAATTTTGGACAGCAGCTGATACCTTATATTTTTGTTAACAAGGAAGAGTGCAGGACAGTATTTTTCTCAAGAGTGCCAAGCTAGAACTGCAGCATGATTTTTCTTTTGTTCCAGCACAGTAAAATTCAGCCTTATTTCACCTGTTATTATCCTGTGACTATATTTAAAAAAAAAAAAAAAAGAATGTTTCCCAGATTTTTTTAAGTGAGAATAATTTTGTCTTTAAACATGCCTGTTGAATCTAAAAATCCATTTGCTATTTGGCTGGTTGAAATGGATGCCATTAATGAGCAGCTGCTTCACGAGACCTTTGTTGTAAAGCTTGGCCAGTTAGTTACATCTGTGGTTTCACATCTGACCCATCGTTTCCTTCTACAGTGGCTTGTTTGTTTGTGAATCACCAGGGAACTGCGAGTTGGCCAAGCAGGAGCTCCCACAGCCGTAGGTTGTGACACCTCCCTCGCTCCGGCCGGTGTCCCGCAGGAAGCGAGAAAAAGCTGTAACCGTACCATCTCCAGTGAAAATTTCTGACAGAGTAGCTCGCGTTGTCCAAAGAAGCCATTTGTGGGGACTTGTTGATGCTAGAAACCGACGTTCTTACAGAACGTGCCCTTTCAAAAAGAGAAGGGGGAGATTGAGCGGTACATGCACAGAGCCCTGCGTGCCCTCAGCCCTTATCAGCTCCACCGAAGGCAGGGCTATGTGGCCAGCCGCAGCTCTGTGGTGGTTTTGAGGAGAAACCACCAATGAGCATCACACCGGTGTTATCAGCAAAAAACCCGAGTGCTTTCCTTTCATGTCATGGTGTTTCAAAATGTTGTCTGGCCAGTGGTGTGAACTGTGAATGAGTATTACGTACAATAAAACCTAGTAGTTTCCTGGATTAGACCAATTAGTGTTTGTTTAGATAATTCAGGACTTGAACGACTTCCTCTCCGGAAGCCCTGAGACTGAAGTGCTAAGGCAGCACACCTCGGCTGAGCTGCCTGTGCCTTTGCTCTGAAAGGCTTGCCGAAGGTAATCACAACTTTACAAATAGGGGTGAATTGCAGATCACATCGTACAAGAGGAAGCGGTATTCACGGCACTTCTCAGTTATTAACTGATTGGAATTACAGCCTTGATTTCATGCAATGGCTATTCTGTGATGATACCTGAATTTGAAGCCTGGAATTTGAACTTCACACAGCTCCATGAAGTCTTTAAGGGTTGCAGTGGCGAGGAAGGGATATACTATTTTAGTGTATGCTTTCATTTGCAATTTTTTTACTATGTTCCGTATTCCTGAATAAAATGGTCTATACCAGGCCAGTAGCATTTATCTGATGCGCCTTCCTGTATGAGTAGGTGTCTGCTGCTGCTGAGGAAGAGCTGGGTGGGTTCTGTTAGGTCCCTGAAAAGGGCTTTTCATGTTAATCCACTCAAATATGAAGCAGAGCAATCTTGTCTATGAAGAGTTATTCCAGTCTTAAGGAAATAACTTCAGGAACAAATGAGCCTTGGACATCTGGTTTAGGTTTTTTTTTTTCTTTCCAGTACAATTTCCATACTAGAAAAGCACACACATGGCTGTGCATATGTTGTTTAATCTCTTAATTGCAATTATGATCAAAAAATGAGGAAGGAAGTCTATGACTAGGAGAGCAAGGCAGAGGGGGAGTTAGGCATATGGGATAGACCGATATTCTTGACTTCTCCTTCAGGGAATAGATGTCATCTGTCATCCCCCCTAGCCTGGAAGAGACTATATCAAAGGGATATGCTTCATCCATAATGATGAGATCACCTTTTCTGCTCCTCAGGGAGCTGAAGATGGTGAAAGAAGAAGTTTGCTTCCCTCAAGAGCCTGGCAAATAAGTTCTAGCAAACAGCAAAAATAAGGAGGTGGGAAAAAGATAGCCAAGGGAATCCAGACACGTTCTGTCATGGCTGTGTGACACAGGTGGCTATGTGAATTGCTGGGATATGTGGATTTGTCCTTTCTTTAAAAATTTGTTATATTTGTTTTCATGCCGCCTTTGGCAGTTTCAGGTGGCTATTTCCCCCTCATGTAAGATACAGGAATGCAGAACAATAAAAAAAGATTACTTGGCCAAGCTTCAGGTTAAACACCTTGCACTTGACTACTCAGCTGTTCAAATAAAGTTAGTTTAGTTTCTCCCAATATATAGTCTGGTAAGTTCAGTCTCGATAGATTTTATATGATTTGAAGTATTATCTTCAGTGGGGGAAAAACAAATTTTTTATTATTATTTTGCAGGTGGCTTCAGGTGAATGCAATGAAGACACTGAGGTTTACAACATTACCCTTAGTACTGGGGATGAGCTCACTTTAATGGGGCAAGCAGAAATCCTTTATGCAAAATCTTCTAAGGAGAAGTCACGACTCAACACCATCTTCAAAAAAATTGGGAAACTTAATTCAATCAGTAAGCTAGGCAGAGGCAAAATGCCCTGCCTCATCTGCATGAACCACAGGACCAACGAAAGCATCAGTCTCCCTTTCCAGTGTAAGGGCAAGTTTAGCACCCGCAGCCCATTGGAGGTGCAGATGCAAGAAGGTGAGCACACAATTCGCAATATAGTAGAAAAAACCAGGCTGCCCGTTAACGTGACTGTGCCGAGTCCTACACCAAGAAACCCTTATGACCTGCATTTTATCCGTGAAGGGCACAGGTACAAGTTTGTCAACATTCAAACCAAGACTGTGGTGGTTTGTTGCGTGCTTCGTGGCAACAAAATTATTCCCATGCATTTTCCCTTGCACTTGACACTTCCGAAATTTACTCTACCTGACAGTCTGGTGAAGGGGGAGCTGTGGCACGAATCCCTCATCCAGCACTGGTTTAATATATGCCAGGAACAGTTTGATATAGATGAGTATTCCCGTGCTGTGCGAGATGTGAAAACTGACTGGAACGAAGACTGCAAGAGCCCAAAGAAGAGTCGATGCACAGGGCACAGCCACGTGCCGAACTCCCTCAGCTACGCACGGGACGAACTTACGCAGTCCTTCCACCGGCTTTCGGTGTGCGTCTATGGAAACAACTTGCATGGGAATAGTGAAGTGAACCTCCACGGCTGCAGGGACTTGTGTAACGAGTGGGCCCTGTTCTCTCACGATGCTCTTCAGTACCAGGAGTCTGGTGACAGTAGCAGCGATTACCTTTTTCCTGAAGTTAGTGAAGAATCGATGTTTCTGCCTACAAAACCAGAACTTCCTTACGAAGAGCTGTGGTTGGACCAAGGCTCTGGAAAGGCTGGTGATCAGCCTCTTACTCGCTCGCTAAGTGAGAAGAACAAATGTGACAACTACAGAGGGTCTTTCCGATCAAAGTGCGGTACCACATCTCTTCCTGTGCCTGCGACTGTCGGAGCAACCACAAAGTCTTCAGATGTTTCCTTACCTCCGCCTCCAGTGCCTCCCAAATCAGAAGCAGTAAGTCAGGGTTATTTATGTTGGTTTGTTTCTTTTTTTAGTTGCTGAAGAGTTTGCTTGGGGACTTTTTTAGGGAAGACTTGGGGCGGGGGGGCAACTTCCGCTAGTTTCCTACTAAGTGTAAGTCATGTCCTAAAAATCACCCGGGTACGTGTAATATAACCAATCTAGTAGCTCAATTCTGATACTTTCAGGTGATATTTATTGGGTTTTTTTTGCTCTCACAAACAAGGTCTAAGAATTACTAGATCGCTTCCTTCCCTGGCTTTCCACATCATCTCTCTACATGGCCTCCATGTTTTCTCACATTTTCTGTGGTCAAAGTGTGTGGGGCATGACCCCACTTGGAACTGCCTCAGATCACCTTAGTGTCTGCATCTTCAATTAACAGGCCCTGATAATGAGGACAGATAGAATTTTTATGGATTTGAAGTGTTTGTTAATGAGAGATTGTCTTCTCCGTTACAAGTCTATGACAGATTTTGAAGAAAATAAGTGTCATTCACATCAAGGAAACTTTATCAAACTAGACCTGAACTAGTCGCTCTGTATTGCTTACTGAAAGAAAACACGTTTAAATAGGAACTCTGCAGAGTTGATAAATGAGCCTTCTAGAGGACTCAGTTTTAAACAGAAGCATGTTTCCTGTCCTAGGGTTTCTAATGAAAACTCATGGGAGAAATCACTTCTCCAAACCTGAAATGTCATGGAGACTTCAGAGGCAAAAATACAAATATGTTTTATCAACGGGAGCTTACGTGGACTGGGTGGAAAATCCAACCATTTCATGGTCTCTTGACATAGTCCTAAACATTATTTTTTAAAAAACACAAAGGAAGAAAGAAAACTTGCGCCCGGAAAAAAAAAAAAGTGTCTAGGAATCTTTATCAAAATTTAAATGATACATACTTACGTCACATGAATCTTAACAGATATTATAATTTAGCAAACTAGGTTTGCAGGAGTTTTGCTGGAATTTAAATAAAGAAAATACTGTTCCATTTGCAAGTCCAATGGTATTTTCAAGAGCATGGCTGTACAGTAAGCTGAGACTAAGACCAAACTGCAGCAAACCATGGCAATCCCATCCTTTTCCTATTCCCATCTTACAGTCCCGCAGTGTTGGCCGTAGCCTTTCCATCATGAGCCAGGTCACAACCTGGTTGAAAGCTAAGTTGTATTTATTTGTGCTGGGTTAGCCTGCAGTGGATTGCTGTGGGGATGCCCCTGGCCAGGCTGTGCAGCTGCTGGAGAGGTGCGGTGAGGAGAGGGGAGGAGAAGGCCAGTGCGGGCACGCAATGCACAACTGCGTTGTTTTTGACCTTTGACCGTGCTGCCAAAACTTGCCCAAAAAGCAGCCGCAGCAGCTTCAGCAAAGGCAGGAAAGTCAAGACATTACGTCTTCTTAGCAAAAAGTGTTTACGTGTAACGTCTAAGTGCAGGAACCCAAGAGCAATTCCTTGCCTCCGAGGTCAGGTACGCACCGACACTGTGTCCAGACTCTTGAACAAGTGCCCAGCAGCACCGTATTGGGATGAGGTTCCCCGGCAGCCTATGCTGATGTAAACAGTGTGGGGCTGGTCTCACCCTCCTCCTCCTCCTCCTCCCTTTCCCAGCCACATGGTCTTGGCTCCTCTTTTGTGCTGGCTCTGGCACTCCTGCTCCTGGGCAGGCAGCCAGGTCTGGATCTGGAAAATGATTAGTTTCGTGCTGATTTATGGGAGACGCACT